TACATATGGACCTTTCATAGTCACAATCCATGCCTTAGGTACATTTGCAAGCATGAAGACCTTCATCCTATTCTTCCAATAATTATAATTAGTACCATCAAAGAAAGGAGGCTTAGTGGTAGACAAACCTTCAAGTGGTTGGGAAGCTTGAAATTGAGCCATCCTCGATCGACTCCTAGGTGTTTAAACCTTCAAATTGGAGCCCAAACTCTGATACCAATTGTTAACTCAATGTACTCCAAGAGGGGGGGGTGAATTGGAGTTTCAAAAATTCTCCCATTTTGCAACCACAAAACCAAAATTACAGAGAGTAGAGAAGAAGAGCTTGCTTAATGATTTTATAGAGGTTTGGTCCAACCACTTGGAGCCTAATCCTCTACCTTGGCTTTACTCACCAAGGATTTCCTCCACATTCTCCACTAAGAAAGACAAGGATGGCTTAAAGGAGCCATTCAATCCTTTTACAAGAAGATGAGTATTTCTTTCAAACCTTACCCCTTTACAACATAAACCCCAAGAATCCTCTCTATAGATCACTCTTTGAGGAATAATCACACCCTTAAGAAAATACACTAATAGAACAAGAAGAGAATTACAAGCAAAGATCACTCAAAGATTGAAACTGAAGTTAAAGCACAAGTAGGTAGGTAAAGATATTCAATGCAATGCTCTAAAACTTGTTCCAGATCTATTACCAATCATATTTATAGCCCATTGCTTGAAAATATTCGTTTCTAGCCGTTGGGGGTCATTAAATGCTCTGCAGGTCACTTAATTCAAGTTGCAGAATTGTCAGCACAGCCAGCTTACACTTCTAGAGTAGGCTCTACAACCGGCTTTGTGGGTTTCCTGCACATTTGTTTTCTTTGTAAAGTCGGTTTCAAAACGTAAAGCCAGCTTTAGGATTTTGACTTTAAAAACATTAAATAATCTTCAAATAACTTAATCGTTGTGCATTAAATGCGCCCTCACAGTCGGCTGCAAAGTCAAAGCCGACTTAGCATCTATTTTCCACACGCGCCAAAGTTCGAACTTGAAATTTTTGCCCGTAGAGCCGGCTCTAAAAGCTGTAGCTGGCTTTCTGCATTTTTGCTTTCCATTGCCAATTGCAAATTCCTTAAGCTGGCTGCAAATTTCCTTAAGTCGGCTCTCTGCACATTTTCAGCCTTTTTAGTCCTTTTTAGTGCAATCCAAGTTCACTTTTGCAATCTTTTAGAGGTTTAACTACACACTTAAATAAATCAATTAATCACTTAAATGTGTTTTGTAATAATCAAAATCATAGATACAACAAATGAGGCCTTCATTGTGACATGAATCCAAAAGGATCGTGAAACTTGAGCCTTCAAGTGGAAGGTTAACCAATTGTCTCCAAACAATATCTGCATATAAGACCTTAGGTGAATTAGTTCTCAAGAATTCTAACTAATGCAATAACAAAGTAGTTAATTTCCAAATGTACCAATGCAAAATTAGAAAATTAGAACTTACCAATGATTAGATTGAAGTCACAAGGCACAATTACCTCGTTTTGTCTGAAAGGATGGCCAGGTTTCATAGAAGGAATCTTGATTCCATTGCCACCATAGTGGAAAAATGGGGCATCCCCTGCTTTAGCCTTATCTACCATCTGGTCAATTATCACCTTGATGTTGGCACCAATAGGCATAAGCAGAGACCTTGGTGTATCAGCCAAGAGCTCAATATGAGCATCATCAAACCCAAACCTTTTCATCAGGACTTTGTTGGTAGAAAGTCCGACCCCATGTGAACATATGGACTTTCCACATGGACACCAACCTAATGAGTTGTGGGTTAGTATTTGTTTTGTTGAAATCATGCAAAATTACATGTTGACCCATTTAATGAGCAAAAAAAATCATGGACGGATGATAATGAGGCAAAGAAAAATGGCGCATGGGTGGTTGGATTTTTCACTCTAAATACCTATGCATGCAAAGACAATAGGTAAGCAAGAGTGAGTGAAAGTAAAGGCTCTTGCGAGAGAAAAGAAAGAGAGAAATTGTGAGATAATCCTTGTGTAGATTAAGAGAGAGTATTAGGGAGAATTTGAGAGCTTCTATATATTGAAACTAGGGTGTTAAGAGCTTCTTAAGTGAGTGAGCTTTTAAATTATTGTACTCTTTTTCTTAATAGTGGATTTATTTCTCTCTTTCCCATGGATGTAAATTTATTGAGAGGTATACAAGTCAAACCACGTTAAATTGTTGTCTCAATTTCTTTTACTGCTTCCATTTGCATGGGATTGTGGTGCTCTGAATTCCCAATAAGTGGTATTAGAGCTATTGGTAGGGCTCCTAGACATTGTGGGAAAATGCAAACTAACACCATGAAGTATTCAATTGACCTATTTGATGGCAAAAATGACTTTCCTCTATGGTAAAGCATAGTGAAGGATGTCCTTACTTGTCAAGGACTTGATGCAGCTTTAGAAGAGACCAACTTGGCTAAAGTGAAAGATAGTGATTGAAGTATTATCCAAAAGAAGGCAGCAAGTCAAATTTGGCTGGCACTTGCTCGAGAGGTGAAATACAACGTCCTTTCAAAGATTACTCCAATATGCATGTGGAAGAAGCTTAAAGAGATATATGCTTCAAAATCTTTAACCAATTGATTGTGTTTAAAGATGGAGTTGTATCAATTAAAGATCGTAGAAGGCATAAATATTCACAAGCACTTATCTGATTTCAACATGATGATGACACGAGTAGTGAATGCTGGAGATATTTTTCAAAAAGAGGAGAAAGCTTTGCTTTTACTTGCATTCTTGCCAAAGTCTTACAAGTCTTTAGTGCAGAGCATGTTGGTGGGTAATACTACTTTGGTGATGAAAGATGTCACAACCATGTTGTTGGAAAATGATAAGTCTCTCGGGGAGGATGATGGTGCCAATCAAAATAATGCTTTGGTGATGGAGCAAGATCGAGGAAGATCCCAGGGATGTGGAGGTGGAGGAAATTGAGAAAGGTCAAAATCTAGACCTAAGAAGGATTATGACGAAGGGCAATGTTTCTATTGTGGTGAGTTGAGTCACAAATAGTATAAATGCTCAAAGTTTAAGGAGGACTTTTCTAATATGAAAATATTGATGAAAAGTCAAGAAACCAAAGGCAAGGGGGAGGCTAAGATTGTTGAAGAAAATCTGGTTGAAGTATTAGCTTGTGAAAAGTGTGATCTTGAGGTGGAGCAAAACAATCAAAGGTGGATTTTGGACTCTGCTGCAACCATGCACATGTGCAATAATCCTTCTGAATTTATGAGTTTGGTTTGGGGGGAGCTCGGCAAAATAACGATGGCTACCGATGAGAAGGTGAATATTGAAGGCATGAGAGATGTTCATCTCAATGTTCACAATAAGAGAGCCCAGATTCTCAAGAATGTGAGATATGTGCCCAAGTGTTCAAGCAATATTATTGCTTTGAGTGAGTTGACAACATGAGGGTACAAGTATGTTGGAAAGCAAGAATGATGTAAGGTCTATAAAGGTGGAAGACTTGTTCTGCATAGGAGGAAAAACAAGCACAACATCTATGTGCTTGAGCAACATCTTGAGAGAGGGCTTAACAAGACCATGAGGAAGATGGTGTGGAAGCCTAAAGGGATCTTGGTAAATGGCAAGGAAATTAATAAGATCAAGAAGAAGGTGAGTTGCAATAATGAAGTGGTGTTTGATGATGGTTTGAGGAGGTGTGATTTTCCCTTGAATCATATTTTGGTCCAAAATTAATTTCTGCAGTGCACCTAGTGTAGGTTTGTCCTATGCTATAATAGGAGAAAACTCTCAAAAAATAGGACACTATGATGAAGTGCTCTTGAGCAGGGGGAGCTGAATTATGGTAATGTTGAAGTGTATGGAGTCATGGTTGGTTTCTCCTCTCAAGGGGTTGGAGGGGGAGATTGTTGGTAGAAAGTCCAACCCCATGTGCACACGTGGACTTTCCATGTGGAAAATTTCTTCGCCAACCTAGCTAGTTGTGGGATAACATTTACTTTGTTGAAATCATGCAAATTGCATGTTGACCCATTTAATGAGCAAAGAGACAGGTGGTAATGAGGCAAAGAAAAATGGTGCATGGATGGTTGAATTGTTCACTATAAATACCCTTGCATGCAAAGGCAATGGGTAACTAAAAGTGAGAGCAAGCAAGAATGAGTGAAAGTAAAGGCTCTTGTGAAAGAAAAGAAAAAGAGAAATTGTGAGATAATCCTTGCGTAGATTAAGAGAGTATTAGAGAGAATTTGGGAGTTTCTATATATGAAAGCTATGGTGTTGGGAGCTTCTATATATTGAAGCTATGGTGTTGAGATCTTCTTGAGTGAAAAAGCTTCTAAATTATTGTACTTTTTTTTTAATAGTGGATTTATTTCTCTCTTTCCAATTGACGTAGACTTGTTGAGAGGTATACAAGTTGAATATGTTAAATTGTTGTCTCAATTTGCGTGGGATTATGGTGCTCTAAATTCCCAACACTTCTTTCATAGCCAACGTGTCATTGATGCATACGTGCAGCTTGTTCTTGGTGTTGGGGTAATTGCAGCTCACCAGAACAATCAGTCTCTTCTTACCCTCTCCAATTCTTCAAAATCAAAACTTAGATTCTGAGGTCATACCTTTCAGATCTTTTGTACTTATAAGTGAGCAAGGAGATGACTTGAGAAATGGTTTAAGTAACTGCCCTGTCAGGTTTAGTTTGCCTTTCAAGTATGGGGAAATTGGTTCTACTTTCTTTAGCACAAGACAAGAAATGCTTCCTTTTATGCATAATATGGTAGGTTCGGCTTCTAATAAGGTTGTGCATATATATATATATATATATAAGAAGTGCACATGGTTGTTCAAGAGACCTTTGTGTTACACCTACTTCAGTTTTGTTTATCAAACAAAACTAGTTTTTTTTTAATTAGATAGACAACATGAGAAGCTTTCTCCTTTTAATATGTATGATCTAATCAAGAAATCCCCAAACATGTCTCCAAATTTTATGGATGAGATTTTGCTAAAAGTTCATTCACCTTAACATGATAAAGATTAGTTATTTAAGGTTCCAACAAACAACAAAATGTTGTGCTACTTTGAAGCAATTGAATTAATCATTAAATAATAAGAGACTTCATTCATATCAAGCACAAGCCAAGGATTGTTTACACATGAACATAAAAAAGATGAGCAGTTAAAAACCAAGTCATTTAACATCCAAACAACTAGTACCATACACAACAAAATTTCAAGATAGTCTAGAAAATTACATTGGTAGATGGAAAATAATCAAAATGATCCATTCCATCAACTTCTTCTGTTACACTACCAATGCGATTCATGTTGTGTACTCGTCCAAAAACTTTGAGAAAGCAGCTTACAAATAAACAAATAATAAATGACTTAATGAATGGATGTTGATAATTGAATGCCTATCAAAAAATTTTAATTGCGTATATACTTCATGTCTGATTTTGTAATCTCTAGTATTACAATCAATAGCAGAATAAGTGATATGATATTGATTTGAAGTTGTAAAAGGTAGGTTGAGGCATGCATCAAAGGGTGACACCTAAAGATCTTTCCAGACATTGAAATTGGTACTTGGACTGTTATAGTTAATTGTCATATCCTGGCATCCAATAAAGAATGTACTATGAAAAGGATCAATGTTTACTAGAGCATGTGCTGTTCCTCTGGTACTAGCTGCAACAGCAACCTCATCCTGATCAATTATCACTTCAGCATAACTTTTATTAGCTATTTGATGGTTTTCCAACTGCGATTTGATCAACATAAATATGGTAATCAGCTACACTTGAGCCATTTTCATTCCTAAACTAGCATGTATGCTTTTTTTTGTTTGATCACTTAAGTTGTCTTCCTCTTTCACTACATAAAATAACTAGTTTCTGGTTGGTGTACTAACAATTGACACTATCACCAATATCATTAAAACTCCATACAAATGCATAAGATGTCTTTTGCAATTTTTATCCATACCACCATATCATATCAAGTCAATGGAGCACAAAAGATGAAGTATTGCATAAGAGAAATCAAAGCTGCAGAATTCACATGTTACGCATACATACATTATAGTTTTGTTTTCCTTTTATCCTAAAAGAAGTTTGTGTTGTCTTCATAATGTAATATTTTAGAATTGTACAAGTGAACCAGAATCCAATTAGAGTAGCAACCAACTTCACCATATCTATTGGTGCATGTATGCACAAAGTTAAATAAATTTAACGAAATGGAAAGGTAATTGGGACCCAATGAAAAGTTGAATTTCTCTGATTCTTAATGCTTTGATTAGTAAAAGTTTTACCTTTATTACTTACAAGTAAAGTTAAACAAATTTTTATAATAGAAATAAATTAACCTGATAGCAATAGTTGTACAGCTAACTATTGCAATCTCTAAATCCAAAAGAAAATTTTGAAAGCAAATTTGACGGGAAAAGAAAATTATGTATTGGAAATAATGCCATCATTCTTGTTAATCATGCATTGCCCAATTAGATCTACCATTAAATGAAGAAGTAACGTATGGATTATTTTCAATTCACTAGATGGAAATGACGAATAAGAAGACCAAACCATACCAGATATCTCAAGAGAAAAACTTTACATTAATGAGAAGGAAGCATACCTTGAATTTTGTTTTAGCTCGCCAAATGACGAATGTCTCATTATAAGTATAGTGTCTGTGGTTTCCTCTCACACCACCACGTCGAATTTCACTAAGATGTACTGATGTCCAAGACATAGCACCACCTGCAGGAGAATGCAATCTTCTTCAAGAGGAGAAAAATGACTAAGGGACTAAAAAGCACAGTCAAAGACCCAAAATGAAAAAGGAATATATATTGCCTAAAGTTTAATATCGAAGAATGAAGGTTCCAACCTCCACTCAAAGAGAGCACAGTTATAAGTTATAGAGAAAAAAGCTATATTTTAAAAGGCTATATTCCTTTCATAGTAGAATCCTAAACTTTCAATATCAAGGGTTGCTAATTGCAAATTCCAGTACCCAAAGGCTAAACCATTCAATCAGATGAAGCCTAACGGCAATTCAAGCCATTCTTCCCCAAAAAATCAAGCCTCACAAATCATTATGACCATGCAAACCAACCAAGTTAAAAGGCCAACTTTATTCATACAAGAGTACACATGGTTATATAACCAATTAAATAAACATCACAATCCAATCTTACACATTTAAATTTCCTATAATTCGAAGGCAATCTAAATAAATCTCAGCGCCAACAAGCATGTTTTTGCAAGTATGATCCCTTATTTCTTTCACAAATCCAAAGCAACTAAACTAGCTCAATTCAACCTCAGGATTAGAGATTCTAATTCCCGGTTTCTCTAATCACTACAACCGCCTTAAAAGAATCCAATGCATATAAAAATTATCATAATGGTTAAAGAGATTCCACCCTTAGGCATTTGAAGACAATAAGAACCAAAAGCACATATTTTGAATAAAATCACAGCATATACATAGAGGAAGGATATTGAGGCATTGAAGAACTGGCCACACAAATTTTATACATACAAATGAAAGGCACAAAGACAAATATGAACTTTTAACACCAGAATTAAGCGCAAGAGTTATGAGATTAAGCAACCACCCATGCTTGCCCTTGGTAATGGAAGAAGGGAACCCAGCTTTGAATCTAACATGATTAACCTTAAGATCATTATCTTGGCTCCATTTCTCATGGGTTCTTAGGAAACCATGAGAAAGAGAAGATGGCTGCAATTTGAGGAAGACCCATGTCAGCAAAAGAAGCCTCAAGAGCAAGAAAAGGAAGGCCTAAGGCATCTTCAAGAAATGGGTAAGAGTGAGAGTGAAGACGAGGTTTGAGACTTAAATGGTTTCTCGTTCGAGTATGAATTCCTTCTAGGGTTCGCCATTATCTGCTTGCGTTTGCATTCTCTACGCCGATCTTGCGAACTCCACTTTGATATTCCACGTCTAACACCCGCTTGTTTTTGGAATTACATTATCTTATTTTCCTTTATATTTATTCCTTATATTTATTAGAAATTAAGAAAGTAAATTAGGTAATAAGTTATCTATTAATTTATTTTGTTTTCAAACAAGGACAAAGACAATGTGGGGATGTTGAGAGCTAGGTGTTTAAAATATGATTTATTTATACTTATATTTATTGGAAATTAAGAAAGTAAATTAGGTAATAAATTTTCTATTAATTTATTTTGTTTTCAAACAAGGACAAAGACAGTGTAGGGATGTTGAGAGCTAGGTGTTTAAAATATGTTTACAAACTTTAAATGGATAAGTCTCAAGAGTCTCAAGTGGTATTGAGTTTGAAACTTTAAATTAGAGATCATATATTTGAATCATTAAAGCAAATAGAGAGAGTTTGTGGGAAAAGAATGACTATTTTTTTTATCATATAGCTCAATCATCTAATGTACCAATAAAAACTTTTAAATAGATAGAATTTAAATCTCCCAAAATGTTACTTTAAGGGTATAATTTTGAATTTTTTAATCAAAAACACTATAATTATAATACTACGTAATATTATAAATTTACAATATAATATATCATTATATAATTCGTTCTTTTCATTCAAAAGTTCACTTGTGATATTGTTTACATTTATTTATTTAATATTATAGTATAATTGTAAATTTATAATTTTACATAATATTGTAGTTATAGTAGTATCATTTTTCTTTATTGACAAGGACATGTGAATTGAAATGATGCAATATCATCTTTAAGAACTAAATCAGCCCACGCCCAATTCTCTACAGACTAGAAAGATGACATTATAAAAAGAGAGTTTGTATCTTGTTAAAAACCAGTCATTAGGCAAAATTTTTTCCGATATTATGGCTCTTTTAATTCAATAATTAATTAATATTTTACTTTTGAAATTGCAAAATACTTATTTCATAAAAAGCAAATAAAGTAAAAAGGAAAAAAAGAAAAACAGATAAAGTGGAAGGAAAAATAAGAGAATATAGCTCTTTTTACTGTTTATATTATATTAAATTATAAAATAATAATTATTAATTAAAAAAACCAACTTTAAGAGATCAATTCATTTACTTTAGCATCTAAATTATATTAAATTATTAAATAAAATTATTAAATAAAAAAAAAAACCTAACTTTAAGAAGGTAATTTTTATTTAATAATTAATATATCACAACATGATGCAGCTGCAAATGTGGGGCACTTTTTAGATAAAAGAATCTGGTTAGGGTTAGGGCTCGGAATGAGTAATAAGGAAAATATAGAAGGTCCAGTTAGCAGCAGACTCACCGCGCTGCGATCCCATTTGTCTCCGGATTCTTCATCTTCCGCCATGGCTTCTGAGAAAGAAGCTGCTCTTGCGGCTGCCCCCTCCGATGCTCCGACCATGTATGTTTCTTCTCTCCGATTCTCAAATTTCTGCCTTTTTTCTTTCGATTCTATTTTTGAAAGGCACACAGATGAAACGCATGCGCTGTGTTTGACTCGACGGAAAATGGAAAAGAACGGAAACAACTTTTCTTAGAAATTATAGAAAAAATGTCAGCTTGATTCATGATATCGGAACCCTTTTCCTTTTTCTTATGTCCAAACATATTCATGGATTGTTTCAGTAATTTAGGTGTTACTAGAATTGAATTGTCCTTTAGGATTTGGTAAAAATAGTTTTCCATCCATTTTTATAAATTTTCTAAATGCATTACTTGCAGCTTTGACAAAATCATCAAGAAAGAGATTCCAGCAAATGTAGTTTATGAGGATGATAAGGTACTGCTAATCCTTTTTATCTGTTGGGACATGGTGAAATTTCTATTTGTAATGTTTTGGATTGATTAAGGTTTGGGTGGATGTAGTCGGTAGTCTAGTAGGGTAGCTAAAGACACAGCCTTGGCTACAAAATTTGGATGCTTTTGCTCAATTCTTGTTTAGAGGTGAACTAAGGTGGTTTGGTTTTACTTTTAGTTATTGGGTGCAAACAACTACATGAATTGTATTTAGTTCAAGTTTTTTAATAGCATATCCAATTTTTTGCAAAAAGTATTTTTGGGTTGGATTGAACAACTAGTGTTGTTTTCTTGAATCATATAATAGACGCATTGTTCTGATTATCTGTGTAGATGAATTACTAGTTTTGCTTCTATATTTTCATTTTGAAAATGGCTTTGAGTATACTATAGTTTCCAGTTAATATATATCGTTGCATAGGGTAGTTCATCCATTACTTTTGGTTTTATAATTTGTTTGTGCCTTCTTCTATTTGCTTTTCCAGGTGTTAGCCTTTAGGGACATAGCTCCTCAAGCTCCCACTCATATTCTAATTATTCCCAAAGGGATGGCTTGACTGGACTGTCAAAGGTAAGACAATAATTTTTTACCCTAATTTGGGGGAAGTCATGGGCCTTGTAGTGCAACTCTTTCTCTTTAATATATTACCATGCCATCTATGAAATGTAACTCAATAGAGCATGAATGTTCCTTTGTTTCTTTGTAATTTGGTATGGCATCCACTTGAAGATATCTTGCATCAGCTAGCTTTTGCATGATTTGTGAACACCCTCTTTTATATCTTGGTAGGGATTTGACCATTTTAAAAATCTAACCCCTTTCAAACATAGACCTGTTTTAGAAGATACCTGCTTGATTTTGTCTGCTAATCTGCCTGACCTGTTCTAACATTTGCCCTAAAAGAGTGGTAAACATGCTTGTAAAATGGTTCTTGTTTGTGGTGCTTTGATGCAAATACACTAGGTGCTTTCTCTGCATTCCATCCTTCACTAAAGTGTTTGCCAAAATCAGAAGTGTAAGACCTTGATAAAAGCACTTTTAACTGCGCATTGTCAATTGTTGGTTTTGTGTCCCATTTCCATATTAGAATATTTTTATTGTTGCATATAGGATACCGTGCTCTTTTCCATGCCAAAAGATAATTGAAGGAATTTGTACAATTGTCATTGGGAATTTCTGTTCTTATATCTGTAGGCTGAGGAAAGGCACTTTGAGATTCTTGGCTGCCTTCTTTACGCTGCTAAGCTGGTACCCAAGCAGGAAGGACTAGAAGATGGCTTCAGGGTTGTGATTAATGATGGCCCACAAGGATGTATATACAGTTTCTTCTCTCTCCATTTTACATGCTTAAATATGTGTTGTGTATGTTTTAGAACTTTTATTGATGTAGGAATGTTCCATTGCAGGTCAATCTGTTTATCACATTCACATCCACCTCCTTGGTGGCTGCCAAATGAACTGGCCTCCAGGCTAAGATGGTGTAAATGTTGATTTGGACAGGTAAGACTTTCATTGTAATGATAGTACAGTAGTATTTGTTGTCTGCCTTGAATGATGATTGTCTAATCATAAGCAAGCAAACTAGTTACTAGTTGCTTTCTAGTAAGATGCTCTGGATGTTCCATGGCACTAGCTGCAGGGCTGGCCCCTATGCTGGGTAAAGCCAATGACCCTGGTCGAGTATGAAAATAATATGGTGCAACTGAGCTATGCCCAGTGTTCCTCATTTTCTTCAAGTTTCCAAGTGAAGTGATATCAATTTACTTTTTGATGCTTTGAGCCATTCCTTGAATGTGTTTGGAAGCATGTGAAAGATTTTGAAGCATTAGAATGCAGGAATAAACAGTAAGATGGGGAGAAAGATGGGCATCAAAACCCAAATGGGCGCCGGTTTTTCCAAACCATTGACTTAGGAACCATGCAATAGTACATGGCTCAAGATAAGTGATTTGGGTTATTGAAACTGTGTTACCAGGATAAAAGGGTAGCTCTTCTCTTCCTTCTCTTCCAGGTTCTGATCTCCCCGGTCCATTTTAAAAACAGATTAATCATGTAACTGTGAGATTCTTAAAATTTTACTTCGTTGTGACCTGTTATTTATTGAATCTCAATCAACAATAAGAGAGAAATGCTAATGAGCCAAGTAATTTAGCCGAGAAATTTCAGTAATTGAGAACGCTGAAGGTCGAAAATAGAGAATAGAAGATGATAATGAAAGATAACTTTTGATTTACCATTTTAGGGTCAAGACTATGGTTGTTAACGAGGAGAGTAATTTATGAGTGACTTATAAGTTATTTTAAGCTTAATCCGAAATCCATTCATTTGGTAAATGAATTGAACTTAAGGTTAATATTGAGCTCGATTGAAAAACAAGTTTGAGCTTGAATTTCCATAATTATTTGAGTTACTTGTGAGTATTTGGTTTAAAATTAAAATTTATATTATATATTTATTTATTAAATTTAAATATATGAGTAGGAATATACTGATACATAAATTTTACACATTACACTTATATAAAATTTTAATTATTCATCTTTTTTTTAATGGTTAAGATTTATTTACATTAATTAAAAATAATTATATTTTTCATTTAAAAAGTCATGATAAATTTTTAAAAAATTAATTTTATTAAATACAACTAAATTGATATGGGGTGTATTATTAAAATTTTTAGTTTGTAAAAACTGATTTAAAAACACCATGATAATAATAATAATAAAAAAAACCATGCAAATGAGAAAAAAAAAACGAAGAGAGAGAAAAGAAAGAAACCAA